ATGGAGTCCTCAAAGCAGTTCTGAAGGAAGAAGGCCTCACCGCTGCTCCAAACTCCATGTTTGAGGCCTCCTCAGCTCCGCAGAAAACTGTGTTGACATCCGGATCGAAGGACCAAAAAATTTGAAAAAACTGCTCACATTTCTACAGCATAATCTCTTTAATAAATATTGCCAGCGTCAGTTCAAAACTACAGGCTATCTGGACATCAGCACACACAGACATTACAGACTGCACCAGTCCGGGTCTCTCGCTAGATGTAAAGCAAAATTACAAAGAAGTGGACGGAGGCGCAGCTCCTTAAAAGAGAGAGGAGCGTCACAAGACACTCACCAACAAACCATCATACACCTCATTGGAAAAACTGTGCAAGAACACCCCAGTGTGCAACAGACCGAAAAGACAGCAGAGAGCTGAACTCTTACCACGGCGCCATGCAACAAATAGAAGAAACAGCATCATGCTATAGAATTGCAGCATCATGCAGTTTTTTCTGTGGTTGTGTGTAATTCACTTTAACAACAGAATCAGTTCAAATACATAGAATCACAGTTGTTGGATGCCAGTATGCAATTCATGATGTTTCTGGCCTGTTTTAAGCGTTTCAAGTGGTTTGCTGCATGAAATTCACTTTTACAACAGAATCAGTTCAACTACATAGAATCACAGTTGTTGGCTGCCAGTATGCAATTCATGATGTTTCTGGCCTGTTTTAAGCGTTTCAAGTGGTTTGCTGCATGAAATTCACTTTTACAACAGAATCAGTTCAAATACATAGAATCACAGTTGTTGGATGCCAGTATGCAATTTATGATGTTTCTGGCCTGTTTTAAGCGTTTCAAGTGGTTTGCTGCATGAAATTCACTTTAACAACAGAATCAGTTCAACTACATAGAATCACAGTTGTTGGCTGCTAGTATGCAATTCATGATGATTCTGGCCTGTTTTAAGCGTTTCAAGTGGTTTGCTGCATGAAATTCACTTTTACAACAGAATCAGTTCAAATACATAGAATCACAGTTGTTGGATGCCAGTATGCAATATATGATGTTTCTGGCCTGTTTTAAGCGTTTCAAGTGGTTTGCTGCATGAAATTCACTTTTACAACAGAATCAGTTCAAATACATAGAATCACAGTTGTTGGATGCCAGTATGCAATATATGATGTTTCTGGCCTGTTTTAAGTGTTTCAAGTGGTTTGCTGCATGAAATTCACTTTTATAACAGAATCAGTTCAAATACATAGAATCACAGTTGTTGGATGCCAGTATGCAATTTATGATGTTTCTGGCCTGTTTTAAGCGTTTCAAGTGGTTTGCTGCATGAAATTCACTTTTACAACAGAATCAGTTCAAATACATAGAATCACAGTTGTTGGATGCCAGTATGCAATTCATGATGTTTCTGGCCTGTTTTAAGCGTTTCAAGTGGTTTGCTGCATGAAATTCACTTTTACAACAGAATCAGTTCAAATACATAGAATCACAGTTGTTGGCTGCTAGTATGCAATTCATGATGATTCTGGCCTGTTTTAAGCGTTTCAAGTGGTTTGCTGCATGAAATTCACTTTTACAACAGAATCAGTTCAAATACATAGAATCACAGTTGTTGGATGCCAGTATGCAATTTATGATGTTTCTGGCCTGTTTTAAGCGTTTCAAGTGGTTTGCTGCATGAAATTCACTTTTACAACAGAATCAGTTCAAATACATAGAATCACAGTTGTTGGATGCCAGTATGCAATTCATGATGTTTCTGGCCTGTTTTAAGCGTTTCAAGTGGTTTTGCTGCATGAAATTCACTTTTATAACAGAATCAGTTCAAATACATAGAATCACAGTTGTTGGAAGCCAGTATGCAATTCATGATGTTTCTGGCCTGTTTTAAGCGTTTCAAGTGGTTTGCTGCATGAAATTCACTTTTACAACAGAATCAGTTCAAATACATAGAATCACAGTTGTTGGATGCCAGTATGCAATTCATGATGTTTCTGGCCTGTTTTCAAGTGGTTTGCTGCGTGAAATTCACTTTTACAAAAGAATCAGTTCAAATACATAGAATCAAAGTTGTTGGATGCCAGTATGTAATTCATGATGTTTCTGGCCTGTTTTAAGCGTTTCAAGTGGTTTGCTGCATGAATTTCACTTTTACAACAGAATCAGTTCAAATTAGGGCTGTCCAAAATAGCGCGTTATTAACGCGTTAACGCAAATCAATATTAACGCCGTCATTTTTTTTATCGCGCGATAAAAAAAAAAAAAAAAATTTTTTTTTTTTTTTTTTTTTTTTTTTTTTTTTTTTACTTTTTATTGAAGACAAACACATAGAAACAAAGAAAAGGACTAGTTCAGATACATTGTAGACAGAGATTACAAACAATATGTAGTTGGAGACACAGGGGGCCAAAGAAGAAACCCAGAAGGGCACATAGGAGGGGAGGGGGGGGGGGGGGGGGGGGGGACATGAAGTGGGAGATGGGGGGAGGGGTTAATAAAAAAGGCAATGCAAGCAAACAGTATACAGTCATAGATATACCAAAGGTAAACAGAGAAACAGCATAGAGTATTTACATTAACAAATTTACAAAATATTTACAGATTGTTTATCATCATCATAATGACACCATGATATTTCTATACAGTCTATGGTCTATACCCACACATACACACACACACCCACACACACACATTGAAGGGGCTTTTTGTTACCAATTATTTATTTTGTCATCCATTTATTGATGATTTTGCATCAAATGTTAGTGTGTAATATAACACTACACATTGTTTTCAATAAAAAAGCAATTGCACACAGCACGCAAATGTGTGACTAATTTGCGATTAATCGCGAGTTAACTATGAAATTCATGCGATTAATCGCGATTAAATATTTTAATCGTTGGACAGCACTATTCACAATACAACACATATCCCATCTTATCAACACACTCAACAGAAAAGCGTTCCATGTCCTCAATATGAGAGAACACAAACTTGAAGGGCTCCAAGATGTTCTCTTGCTCCTCACTGTCTGGGTCAAAACCAGTCTCCCTAAACTGGGAGAAGTCTGCTTCGCCCTCAGCAGCTTCATCTCCTTTCCCAGTCCAGCACAGGAGGAGGGAAAACTGTATTTTTCCAGTTAATAAAACAGGTTGACTTGCCCAGCTTGCTGCTAATTGACAATCTTTTTAGGACTTTCGGTCTCGATGTTCCTAGAATGAAGGACAAACATCAATGTGAATTTAAAGGTATTACGTAAGGAATCGCTCTTGGGCGGGCCGGGCTCCTCCGGTGTATCCGTGCACAAATAAACTGTAAGGTCTCATAGCTGCTCATTAGGCTCTTTTGACCACCCTCCTGTTCTCCAGTGCAGAGAACAGTATTTTCACTTTATTATTATTATTTTTTTTCTTTTCATTTGTGGATTCAATTTATAGATAACACTATTTATCAGTTGCAATGACACAGCTGGTGCCGAGGGTCCACATGCACCATTTAAGTCGGGGTATTTGTGGGTATGGTTCTCACACTTGAGCCTTGAGGATATTAAAAAATCTTGTTCTCCGTCCCCAGATTCACTTAATCAATGGTATTTTTTCATTCCTGTGGTAGTAGTTGCATCCAAAAAACAATCCAAATAGTGAAAGACTGTTGGGATTAAGAACCCGAGTTTTATGACTCTTTGTGTGCAGGCAACAGGTCTGTTCTGTTGCACAGAACCTTGCGCTTTTTCACCTCAGAACTGGCTGTACTTTCCCCTTCGAAGCATAGCCTTGGCTTCCTCCGTCCAATGGGCAAATAATGTGATAGCTGAGTAAGGGGTAGTAATGGAACATTGAGAATATTGACCAATAGAAACATTCTCTTCGAGTAATTACTTTGAGAACAAATGATCTCACCTCCAGGTCAAGGTCTTTCCATCAGTAAACAATCCCACCATGTCCTCAGGTTGGCATGTCTTCCTTAAAAGTCCAAGATGAGTCAATATTAGTTAGCATGTAACCTGAGAGTTTTACAGCCAGAACAGGAAACGATGTTGACATTCCTTGGGCAGTTGTAGTTTCAATTGCTGGTCATGCACAGAGCCCATTGCGTAGGATCATGAGGGGGAGTCCATACACTATGAGGTAGAGCCAAGCTCATGCCCAAAGAAAAAGGATTTACTTACAACTGTGAAGTCAAACTGCGCTTCCAGTACAGTGTACTGGAAAGTTGGGTTTGGGTAAAGTTTGTTAATTATTAATCAATGTAAAGAAAATATGGTGAATGGGAAGCCTACCCATCAATAAAGATTGCCGCAATCCATTGCGATTAGTGCTTTGGAAGATCCTTTAAAAAAAAAAATGAACCAACAGAAAATGCGGAGAAATGATACCAATGCGTTGTCCAATGCCCCATACCCACCACAAGACCCCACCCGGATTATTAATTACTTTTATGAAAATAAGAGAATTCCTCCAAGTCTTCCTGACAGTGCTCTGCAGTCAAAGCCTCTTCACACCTACAATCTTGAACTTCAGCCAGAGGAAAGTCTTTGCACTGTATGTGTCACAGTGCCACTGTCCAAATCAGAAGTAATTACAAGAAATGCTAAAATTGTCACAATTGGAGGGGTTATTGAGAGTAAGTCTAATTGTTTGTTGTGGGTACACTGTATTTTTACTGATCTTTTACTGACCTTTCTCTGCAGATGTGTCCACTTATTACAGACAATGCCCACAATGTGGCATGGTTTATCGTTATCAAGAGTACATAACTTTGATGACCATCTCGTTTTAAACCTTGAGATGTGTCTGTACTTGAGGCATAATCTACAGGTTTGTTTATTTTATTTTTGGCATGTTCATCCATCTTAACAATATGGCTTCGTTTTTTAAATTAATGAAACAAATCTTCTGCAGAACAATGTTGCCGTGTCCAAAGTAATCAATTCTCTGGAAGGCCTCAAAGGAAAACCCTTTCCTTCCAGAAATGCCATTCTCCATGCTTACTGCCACTTTGAAGCCATGACAGATCAGACATATGAGTATTCATGTGTCAGTTGTGGATACCACCCCCACACTGTGGTCATGGACCTTCACAGGAAAGGGGTGTTTAACCTTCCTGGTAAGGCAATGTTTTGAAAAAAGTTCTAATGAATTCCTAATATATAAGTTAAGGGTTGCAAGAGACAGACTCGTCCTCCTAGGGCACTTTCCTGAGTCATGGCTGTCTGTCCTGTTTAATAACGCTAACTCTTTTCTGTTTTTTTTTTCAGTAAGCGAGGTTGCAGCGGCTTCATCTACCTTCAATGGAGTAGTTGACACTGACGGCTTTTGGAAATCGATTGACTTTGACATGATCTCCCGAGGATTTTTAAAAAGTAAAGACAATGATTGACGGATTGTTTATTTTTTATTTGTTTAGGGCGGCACGGTGGCTGAGTGGATAGTACTCTCGCCTCTCAGCAAGAAGGTCCTGGGTTCGAATCCCGGTCGGACCAGGGCCTTTCTGAGTGGAGTTTGCATGTTCTCCCTGTGTCTGCGTAGGTTTCCTCCGGGTACTCCGGTTTCCCCTACCACTAAAATATGTCCAATAGTTCTGGCATGCGCCTCCTGTACTGGCGACCCCGCTCCCATCTCTGTGTGGAGTGAGTGGACCAATGCCCAAAAATAACAATTGTAAACCGCTTTGAGACTCAGATCTGCAGTGAAAAGGCGGTATATAAATAAAGATTACTTACTTACTACTTACTACTTATTTTTGTTATTTACCTTTTGGTTTTTTTTTTTGTTAAGCTTGTTCTGAGAACCCATTTACTGTTCATCCCAGTTATGAATACTGGGCTCCATGGATTGGAAGGAGGACAAGAAAATCAAACATGGCCTTGAACACAGAGTTTGAAAAAATTGCCTCAAATCGGACTGTCACTTCAGCAGAGGTTCTTGTTACAGAGGATCGGCTGGTTGATGAGCTGATGAAACAAAAGGTGCGTGTGAATACTTTTGAAATTTGACTAATCTCATAGTGCATATTAATGTCAGTATTTAACCGCTGTACAAAGTGTGATGGAAGGCATTTCAATAAAAGATTACAATTATGAGTTAAAATTAAATTTTCAAAGTTTAATATAGATATGGAGCTGTATTACAAGAAATTTGTGAATGTGGCACACCGTGGTCACAGCAGAGTGTCCCTGCTCTAGGTTCGGGAAGCCTCCTAAACATAAGCATTGGGAGACATCAGGCTGAGATTAATCTATGATTAAACCACGCTATATGCATTCATTTTTTTGATCAATCGCATGAATGTTAACTTTGACAGCCATAGTGTGAATGTAGTATTTTGTATTAGTTTATGATTTACATATGGAATATATTTGGTGTCTTTAAGGTTTCAACAGTGCGTAAACTATGCAAAGCCTGCAACCTGGACTCGAATGGGTCGCGTATGAACCTCATACTACGACTCCGGGAGGAAATGAAGTCCAGGCACACTTATGACAAAGTGTTCCAAAAGATCTCGGGAGCATCTGGTACAGCTCATGTTCTTCATCCTCAAAAATGTGTATTATGCATTTTTGGTAACTTTTAATTTTTATTTTAAGGTGGCTGGTCTGTGATACTCTGTCCTCACGGCATTGTTTACAGCATTAAATTCAATATCAGGGCAGAGTCCCCACGGGACTTTGCTGATCTTCTTTTTTCCTGGGAGCACATTCCAAATGTTTGTGTGTATGATTTTGCCCGGGGGTTGGCAACACACGGAAATGTACGGTCACCAATAGATCTTCCTTTTAAGCCTCATGAAGGAAGACTAGCGTCGTCTACCCCAGAGAACATTGCAGCAGCTCAACAAAAAAAACTAAAGGTGTCTCTGCCGTGGCTTCATCAAAAGCTTGCCCTTCCTGACCCCAATGGACATCCGATAACTGGTTCCTCAGACCACTATATACTTTATGACAAATTTCATGAGACTAACACAAAAAGTCCTCAAGAAGTTCTCAGGCGAATTGGAATTGTCCCTGAACTGCACACATCACTAAACAGTCAAGTCGCAGAGCAGCTGTTTGCCACTTTAAGGAAGAACAATTACTTCCTTAACAACATGGCCCCCTCAACCCACATTTTTCTCATGCGAAACATAATACATCACCAAAATAACACAAAAAACGACAAATACATAAAGAGACAATTGCAAAGAGGACAAACAATTCACGACATTGAGAAGAATAATCTTGGACAAGCCATATTTGGTGAATAAAACTTCAATTCCCATATTTAATGCCACGAAAGAACCTACATGACCACTCATTACATCTTGGTTTTCCAGCAATGCAAGCATCGCGGCCCTCACAACATGAACATGTAGCCACTGACGAAGGTGCCAAGTTTTGATGGTCATCTTATTGTTAAAATTCTGATATGACTTAGCTTTAACATTGTTACATCTTAACTGATATTTCTAGATGCTTGTGGGCCTCATTGTGAAAATGAGTGTAATTACAGTATGGTAGAGCCACGTAAAGCATGTTGGACACAAGCAAGAGCATCTTGTGAGTTCATAAGGTTTTAAATAATTTTACATTCTAAATAAATACATCTAATACCCATTTAACTCAGCTCAACTATGTGCTGGATGAGGAGAGGTCAGGAAAGGAGCTTATCGTCCAAAGTACTAAGATGGCTCTAACACGGTCTGACTTTCAAACTCTTGGTTTAAAACGAGATATGGAGTCTACTGTGAGTATCGTTTTTTTATTGCTCTGCTAATTTGGCTACAATATTGCCATATTCTAAATTGTTTATTTTTTTTTTTTTCAGATTGGAAATGCCTGCTTTGAGATCATAGAAAAAGTCGCGCAAGTCAAGGTAAAATACAAAATGTGGTTGGAGGCAACAATGCCATCCATCCATCCATTTTCTTCCCCTTAATCCATTTCTGGGTCGGGGGGGTGGCAGTCAGAGCTGCACCCAGTACACAGAGCACCAGCCCCTCACTGACCCTCCTGCAGGTGGTGAGTCCACAGGAGCTGAGATCTTTCAGTGGGGGCTTTGGGCAAAGTAGGGTTAAGTGTCTTGCCCAAGGACACAACGACAGCAGTCATCAGTGGGAGTCGTGAAGTAGGTCTTACGGTGGGCTCGAACCCACGACCTTCAGGCCCAAAGGCCAATGCTCTACCAACAGTAGCCTCAGCCTACTGAGGCAACAATGATTTGTTTTAATTATAATTGATAGGGAAAGAACATTTTCGTTGTGGACCTATATGTTGTTCCAACTTGGCGGGAACCATATTCCTGTGACCCTCTGGCCTCCTTTCCTGTAAGTTGCAAATGGTTTGTTGACTCAGGAGATCTACTGCATAGTCATTTAATTTCTACTAAATATTAGACGGATCCTCACCTCAAAGATGCCATAGTGGTCCCTATTTGGAAACCAGGGCATTACATGTTGTCTGTAAGTATTCTGTATAACTTTTCGGAGGGAGACAAATTAAGTAGTATAACAATGTAAACGTTAATGAAATGCAAATACAGGTTTTGAGACCAAGCCAGAGAGAAGTGCTATTTCTGGATTCCCAATATGCAGTGGCACAGTTTGGATTTGGTGATTCGGAAATAAGGGGAATCCTGAGGTCACCTTTTAGTATGATTACGTGGTTCCTGTTCCTTTGCCGTTCCGCAGAGAGGTTATTGAGTTCTTCAGATCACATTCAGATCTGTACTTTAAGGGCTTTTAAAGATGTTAAAAAAGATATTCATGACTTGTTTTTCTAAAGAAACTATTGAATGTAAAAGATGGAGGGCAAAGGCAGGAGCGAGAGAGGAGAGAAGTTACAATAGAGGACATGCAGGTAAAGACTTATCCTGCTGTCTCACCTGTGCGACTGCTTATTTAATGTTCACATTGTCCACAAGATGGAGACAACTCTGCTCTTGAAGTGTAAAACCTTTTGGCACATACAGCCAAGTAATTTGAATAGAAGATGCATCTTTAAATGCCCTGTAGAGTTCTGTTCAAGTTCAACATTTGAACTTTTTAATGCTATGCATGCAGCTTAATGATTAATGTATTGCTTTTCACTGAAGCATCTATCCACAATGTTATTGTAGAAATGTGTGCAAATCCATAATCCCTGGGGAACCATGGACAGAGAGGACAGGTTTGGAAATGCAGGTAAGACAATTGGAAATGAGAAATGCCAAATAATTCACACTAATCTCTCCAATTGTTTTTCTTTTTTTGTTCATTTTTTTTTTTAAAGGATCTTCCAAAGCAGCTATATGGCAATGATTGCGGCATCTTTATGTTGATGGTATGGCTTCCATTTCACATATTTTCTTACATTGATTAATATTAACCAAACTTTACCCAAACCCAACTTTCCAGTACACTGTACTGGAAGCGCAGTTTGACTTCTCAGTTGTAAGTATATCCTTTTTCTTGGGCATGAGCTTGGCTCTACCTCATAGTGTAGGGACCCCCTCATGATCCTACGAAATGGGCTCTGTGCATGACCAGCTGTTGAAACTAAATCTGCCTAGGAAATGTCAGACAAGTTTCCTGTTCTGTCTGTAAAACTACAGTTACATTGCTAACTAATAATTGACTCTTCTTGGACTTTTAAGGAAGACATGCCAACTCTGAGGAAATGGTGGTGTTTGTTACTGATGGAGACCTTTGACCTTGGGAGGTGAGATTCATTTGTTCTCAAAGTATTACTCAAAGAGAATGTTTCTATTGTCAATATTCTCAATGTTCCATTAATACCCTCTTACTCAAGCTATGGCAAATTATTTGCCCATTGGACGGAGGAAGCCAAGGCTATGCTTCGAGCGGAAGTACAGCCAGTTCTGAGGGTTAAAAAACGCAAGTTCTGTGCAACAGACAGACCTGTTGCCTGCTACACAAGTGAGTCATAAAACTCGGGTTCTTATCCAACAGTCTTTCACTATTGGATTTTTTTGGTTGCAACTACCTACCACAGGAATGTAAAATACAATGATTTATAGTGAATGCAGGGAGACTGAGAACAAGAATTTTAATATCCTCATGGCTCATGTGTGAGCAACCATACCCACACATACACTGAATTAAAATGGTGCATGTGGACCCTCGCACCAGCTGTGTCATTGCAAACTGATAAATAGTGTTATCTATAAATTGAATCCACAAATGAAAGAAAAAAATAATAATAATTAAAGTGGAAAATCTGTTCTCTGCACTGGGAGAACAGGAGGGTGGTCAAAAGAGCTAATGAGCAGCTATGAGACCATTATCAGTTTATTTGTGCACGGATAAACCGGAGGAGCACGAGCCCTCCCAAGGCGATCCATTAACTGTTAATACATTTAAATTCACATTGATGTTTGTCTTCATTCTAGGAACATCGAGACCGGAAAGTCCTAAAAGATTGTCAATTAGCAGCAAGCTGGGCAAAGGACAACCTGTTTTTATTCACTGGAAAAATACAGTTTCCTCCTGTGCTGGACTGGGAAGGAGATGAAGCTGCTAAGGCTGAAGCAGACTTCTCCCAGTTTAGGGAGACTGGTTTTGACCCAGACAGTGAGGAGCAAGAGAACATCTTGGAGCCCTTCAAGTTTGTGTTCTCTCATATTGAGGACATGGAACGCTTTTCTGTTGAGTGTGTTGATAAGATGGGATATGTGTTGTATTGTGAATGTATAATAAATAATTGAACGGCCTTATCATTGATAATTTATTCACCACAAAAGGGGAATGTTCAGTATAGCATCACAGGTTACAGAACGGTAGGAAAATCAAAATGTGTGTAGACCTATAGGTCAAGCTAACTCTTATTCCTCTAAAATAGAAAAAAATAGTGGATACCTATGTAACTTCAAAGCTGTTGTGAGAATAATATAGATGAATGGAATAAGCATCTAGAAGTTGCAGCCCTTTACTATAATAAAACCTCGCGATGGTATCTCTACCATGTATATATTGTCTTTTTGACGTGTTTTCATGTGCTATACTATGGGTGACATGTAGGTGGCGCTCTTGTAAACAAATGGCCACAGAATTGTCCTTTGGCATCCCAAATGCCCAGATGAAAACAGGGATCGCTCATATACATAATACCTGGTCACAATTTGTGGAACAAACGTCACTATTTTTGTTTGTTACATAATATATACTATATGTTAAATATAAGCTTTATAACTTTATGAAGAAAAACGTTTTAAGTCGCAGTGAAGTGAAACAGCGAAGGTCACGTGACAGGGGCTCCTGGTGGAGGTCACGTGACAGGGGCTCCTGGTGGAGGTCACGTGACAGGGGCTGAACATGGAGGTCTGCAAGGGGGGGGATTCTGCAGCCAGATGCCTCTCCTTGAAACGCCTAAAACGGACCAGAAACATCATGAATTACATTCTAGCTCTCAACAACTGTGATTCTATGCATTTGAACTGATTCTGTTGTAAAAGTGAAATTTATGCAGCAAACCACTTGAAACGCCTAAAACGGACAAGAAACATCATGAATTACATTCTAGCTCTCAACAACTGTGATTCTATGCATTTGAACTGATTCTGTTGTAAAAGTGAATTTCATGCAGCAAACCACTTGAAACGCCTAAAACGGACCAGAAACATCATGAATTACATTCTAGCTCACAACAACTGTGATTCTATGCATTTGAACTGATTCTGTTGTAAAAGTGAATTTCATGCAGCAAACCACTTGAAACGCCTAAAACGGACCAGAAACATCATGAATTACATTCTGTGTCACGAGGGTGAAATTAAATGAGACCCAAAATGCAAAACTGCAAAAAGTAATGGATTTAATAAAAAGATGAAACAAATCCAAAAACCACAAAGAACGAGGACATAACTAAAACAGACTAGGGAAGACAATGATGGAACAGGGAGTGAAGGAACACACAGGGCTAAATACAAGACTAACGAGACACAGGTGAGACACATGAGGGCAGGGCAGGTAATCACACAGGAAGAGCAACCAAAGCAGACACAGGGATTTAACAAACTACAAAATAAAACAGGAAATGAATCTAAACCATGACAGTACCCCCTCCTCAAGGGACGGATCCCAGACGTCCAAAAAAAAAAAAAAAAAAACAACCAGGGAGGGAGGAGAGGGACCGAAGGGCCGGAGCAGGGACGTAGGGCCGGAGCCGGGACGTGAAACCGGGGCCGGGGCGTGGGGCCGGGGCGTGGGGCCGCCGAGCTGGAACCCCGCAGGGTTGGTGCAGGAGCTGGAGCGGGGACTGGAGCGAAGCAGGTAGGAAAACCGGAAGGCCCCCTGGATGGAGAAACTATGTCCAGCGGAGCCAGGTCAGACGGAAGCCTGCAACCACCCAGGACGGAACAAAGTGTCCTGCAGTGGTCCAGGACAAAGACAAGAGAGGGATGCTTCCAACTCCTGCAGTGACTCTCCAGTTGGGGATAAACGCCAGAAATGAGAAAAAATAAAATAAAATGAAGCAGTCTGCTTGGGCCTTGAGTGGTTCCATCATTCTGTCACACGTGGGAAGGAGGAGGACTCAAAATGCGAGAATGCCAAAATAAAGAATTAATAAAATAAAGTCCAAGGTAAAAACAAAACTCAAAATCCAAAATACGGAACCAGGAGCACAAAATCAGGAACAGGACGGAACAGAAGTAGACAATACAATGGACCAGCAACAAGAGGAGAGGAGCACAGGGTAATTATAGACAGAGACACAGGTGAAACACATTAGGGCGGGGCAGACAATCAAGACAGGGGAAACAGGACGTCAAAGTCAAACTAAAACCAAAGCACAGAGAACAGATATCAAAATAAAGCTAAAGTCCAAAATAAAATCCACACCATGACAAAAATATTTCTATTTATCTTTAATAAAGATATAATCGCCTTGCTTATTAGCACTTATTATGATTATCGCCATGAGCTCAAAACACAATTTCACATAGAATTTTCAACAGTATATTGGACTATAATTGTCTTGTTTATCTGGGGCATTTTGGTGAATGTTCATCTGGTTCGTGATCCTCAATCATCAACAGCTGAAAGGGTCACACCAAAACCACTATTTATGGATCTGGGTTGGAGCACCAGTAACTTGTACGAAAAAAACAGACAAAATATTGTGTCCTTGGAACGAGGCCAGCTGCTACGCCCATGACGCCTGAACAAATGGGTTGTTTGGTTATAATAATACCGATACATGGAACATATTTAACGCTTTTCTCGACACTCAAAGATGCTACAAAAGGATCGATTAGCGTATTTTTTGGATTATAAATCACTTTGAAGTAGAAAGTCGCACCAGTCACAATTTCATAATAAATGAGGAAAAAAAACTTAAATGTCGCACTAGAGCAAAATCCAACACCAAGAATAGACACCAAGAATTTCTTCTTGAAAGGCAATTTAAGAAAAAAAATCGAATAGAAAATGGCATGTCAACGTATCGTATCGCGGGAAGAGTCATTCACAACAGAACATACCAAAAGTTTACCAAAGAATCAGTGTCACTCCTAATCACTAAATTTCGTTAATACGTTAGTAGCTTAATCGCTCAACTTGCCAGGGCTATTATTTGATATTTTTCGGTAAATTAAATAAGAAAAATAAAATGTAATAATTTCACACATAAATTTCTCTAGATTATAAATCGAACTATGATAAAAACGGCAATTTATAATCCAAAAAATATGGTTATAAGAAACAAAGATAAAAAAGCTAAATTAAATATAAGGTTTTGAACGTGATCTGAAGTTCTGAAGAGAATCTGAGTTCCCGGCGAGTTAAAGGAGAGAGTTCTAGAAAGTGAGACAGCTGCAGAGAAGGTTCGGTCTTCGATGGGGGTGAGGAGGGTGGAGTCCCTGGATTTGAGGCGGTGGGAGAAACTGTTTATGAAGGGACTTGAGGACAGGGGTGATGTAGTAATAATGTAAAATAACGTACACTCTTCTAAACACACCGTAAATGAGCATAAGATGAAATGTCTAAATGTGAAGCCGACTTGCTAATTTTTATTCCTGGAAGTTTCCCTTTTCCCGCTGTTAAATGTATTTATTGTTTTTACATTGCGAAAGATATGAAAGGTTTCAAGGGCATTTGGTTTTAATACTTCTGTGCATTGATCTTATGACTTTTTTGACTAATGACCGTATTTGTACAACTGCTGCTTTTTATCACAACTGGACCAAAAAGCAAAAAAGCATATCAAGAATTGACGTATGATTAAGATGTTATTGCATTTGAGTTTGTGAGAGCGAGTTTCCATTTCCTTTAAACACCATATCCATGAATTGCAGCATACCTCACCATTACCCGGACCACCATCCATCCTCGTATTCACCCATGCTTCAGTAGTTTTGAAACGTTCTATCCAAGTAAGTGATACGGCAGCTTTACCCGAGCATCTTGACATCCCGTGGGCTGGAAGATGCTGAAATATTGATAGTAGCTAATGGCTCCGTCATTTTCTGGTGCAAAGCATAGGTGTAGTAGCATGGCAGACACGCACTCCGTGGTACATGTAGTGGGTCATTAATATTGACCGTGACGACCGCCCGGCTTCTTTCTTCATTCTACGGCTTCTCTTACACCATATCCAGAGGTTAGATGCTTTAATCAGGTTATGAACATGTTTTATTTGTTTTGGAAAACACATACGGGACGGTAATCAACTAATAATTTCACAACCAATAATAATTTGACTTTTTTTGAGTATCAACTGATCCAGAAAGCATAGGAAAAGTGGTGCTTAAAGCCAAAGCTAATTGGCAGTACTTGTCCCTATTTGGGCTTTTGACACAAAAGTGGCACAATTTTAGAAACACAACAGAGAAACAATTGTATAATACGCAATAAAATCACACTAATCATGAGTGCAAAGCTGCTGCTTGTAGATAGATAGATAGATAATTTATTGATCCCCGTAGGAGAAATTCATGGTGTCCAGTAGCAGCAGAAATAAAATGTATCATTCTATAAAGATAATAATAGTATTAATCAGCCACAGGCCTTCAGGTCACAGCAGCAGAGATGGAGTAGCCGCTTTGTTTGGACCATTTTCTCTGCTCTAGTCCAAAGTAAAATGCTAAATGCTTCATTAACATTTTTCAAAAAAGTTAGCAATCTTCCGGTGGATTTTCACCTGATCTGCTTGGTTTGGACCATGAATCCTCTCTGCTCTGGTCTGGACCAGCGTAAAACCATGAACACTGTACTGCAGCAACATCTCAGGTAGAAAAAAGCAAGAAAAAAATAAAATAAAAAGCAACTGTTTCAGAGCTATAGGACTTGCTTTCGTTTTCCAGCGCATTCCTTGTACATCCAAGATTTAATTTCTATTTGTCCCAGATTTGAAATGGACAGGAGGCGTGTTCAATAGACCAGTGCTTTTCACAGAGAAGTCAGAGAAGCACCAGTTTTATCTGTCTTGATATCAACCTGCCATGGGACTACAGACGAAAAGTACCCACACGACTAACTCTGGCACATTTATATGTTGAAAAACACATGTTGATT